ATTGAGTTAATTAGCATAACAGCTCACAGAGCGAAACATTCATTCATCGGCCTGGGCCATTATCCATTAGGTAACCCAAACAAGACGCGACTCTGTCTGTCTGTCAGTTTGTTTGCAAACTTTGTTTCTCTTTTTTTTCAATTTGCAATTTGCAATTGAGAGTGCATTGACAGCCTCGCATGGGGCATGGAGCATGGAGCATGGAGCAGGAGCGGCAGTTTGAGCCGCTTCACCACAAATCCAATCAGTCAACTTGTCATAAAACCTCCTCACCTGCCTCCATGGGTAGGCGTGAGTTATGTGCGGGCTGCGACGTATGACGTATGAGGAAGGTTTTCACTTTTCAGCCAGAGTTATGTGATGGACATCAGACCGCCCCTGGGAGAGCATTCAACCGTGACCAGCTTCAACATCCGCTGGCTGACAGCTTCTTTGGCGAGTGGAACGACTAGAACAAAGCACTTTCACTTCTAATGCCTCACGAGAAGCAATCGGAATCAATTGAATGCATTCGATAGAGAGCAATTAGTGTTAACCTTTTCACAGGTTTTGCCTCAGGTGTCTCTCCACACGCCCAAGGCGATGCCAAATGGCAAATGCAACATTAACCAAAAAGTAACAACAAACATTCGACCTTCAGCCTCGCTTATGAATGGCTTTTCCCAGGGCTCTTCTCACTGTTCGTTTTTTCCATACGTATGCGGAAAAGAGTAACGAGATTTGCATAAAATTCAAGTCAATCTCTGCATTTCCCACAGCACCAAGTAGATCAACTTAATTGCGTCTGTACGTATCTGATTTTGGGCATAATTCAACCTTACTCATGGTAGAATCTTTGTGAGGCAGCTGGAGGACAGCAGGCAGGCAGGCAGGCAGGCAGGTGGTGTGTTGGAATGGCAGCGGCTGGAGCAGCAGCTGGCTGATGCAACAACACATTGACAAGAAGACATAAATATCGGCTGGGATTATGCAATGCAGTGATTTGGCTCCAAGGAGCAACAGGAGAAAGAGGCTGATGCAGCGAGACATTTATCGGTGCGTCGACGCATCGAGACTCAGAGATGCAGTTTAAGCGCACGAAACTAAGACAACTTTTTGTTTGGCTGCCTCCGGGTGATGCCCAAAATGCCTGCTGCTGCTGCTGCTGCTGCTGCTTGGCCATAAAACACTTCCTGCTCCCGCTGCATTGGCGGCACCTCGGTGCATTGCTATGGTCAAAATGTGGTCGAAATCTAAACTGGATTGCAGTCAGTGCGGAGCAGCGGCAGAGCCTCTTGTTGCAGCGGTTTCCTTCCTTGTGTGTGGATTTGGGTTAGCTAAACATTTATCTGCCGCTCGGGCTGTTGGTTTTTATGTTGATGCTGCTGATGGTGGCGCGGGGCAGAGGAAGAGTCTTATAAAAGTGTAGGGTATATTTATTAGAAAGCTTAAAAGATATTCCCTGCACTTATCACAGAGAATCTCCTGCTGCTTTTCCCCATAAACTCTGATTGTCCCATTCCTTTTTCTTTTATTATTTCATCATTGAAAGAGTATTCCAAATTGCATCTGCATTTCACTCTGCCCACCTTCCATTTCTCGCTCTTCACCCTGCAATTAATATTTTGTAATAGTGACCAAAAAAAAACCGTAAAGAAAACAAAAAGCTCCCAAGCCGAAAAAACAACAAAACACAAGTAGAGTGAGAAAAATGACGGCAAAAACCAAATTCCAACTTTAGCTTTAAACGGTCACATGGAATGTGTGTTTTGTCGGGCAGCGAATAATTTTACCACTTTCAAAAATGATTTTCAATTTCACTGCAGCGGATCGAAACTATAGGCCACGGTGTCGGCAAATGTAGCCTAAGTGAAGAGATAGCAATGTACATACATTCGTATGTATTTATCTACATATGTATTAATGCATAATAATTATGCATGCGGCGTATTAAAAAGCGCGAGCCTTAGAAACGATTCAGAAACCGAACGAAATCGAAAACAAATTCAATCCCATGGAAACAGACAGCGGGGAGGTAGGAGCGGCTATCATTTCACTTTCCTTTCCTTTCGTTTCCCAAAACGGGCCTGCAGTGACTCCGACTGCATTTCAATTTTCCCTGCGTTGTGCTGTCTGATTTGTTTTTTTTTTTTTTATAAATTTGTTTAGTTTTTCATTTTGATTTTCATATGGGTTTGGAGTGGTCTCTTCAGCTGGCATGTTAATGTAGGTCCAAGCGAGAGCGCGGACAGTGGAGAGCGAAAGCCCAGCGTCGGTTACAGCGATAATTCAGGGAAATAATTAAAACTCCATGAAGCGATTATCGGACAATAGTTTCACTGCCAAAAAAATGTCTTAGCTTGGTGTAATTTCAATTACGTGCTGGCCGGAAATGAAGCGAAAATGAAACGAAATCGAAAATGTCAGTAGTCGATCACGATGACACCATCAAAATCATTGGCAAATAATTGTGTTCCTCCTCGCAGTGTTCACTGAGTCACGGATCTACGCTGTGGCATGCAGATAGCTGCAACTTGACACTGCCGCCGCTGTCGAGACAATTGCGTGCAGATAGGAGAGTTCAACGGGGTTCAAGAAACTACCTACCCTACCGTCCGACAAGCCCACATTGTGGCTGGGTACAGTGCGTTTTGGCAGCATAAATCTGTGCTTGCGGCAGAAGAAAGGTGCAGGGATATGTAAGGTCAAGGATCGGCCATCATTCACCAGGAACTGGTACAACTACCCATCGAGCTAATTATCGTACCAATTACTTTAAGCCGCTGTGAATCAGTTGCCCAACAATAAACAGATCAAATAATTATTGTTTTGTGGCTTACGTGTGCCATTAAATTGTTACCTGGTCATGTGGCATTTCCTTACAATAGCCTTATAGCTACGAAGCGCACTGTAGCTAAGTGTGTTAATAATGCAATTTTTGCGAGCAAATAAAATTCAATTTCAAGTTGAATTATTCCAGTGGCTTCAAGTGCATGCTGTTATTTTCTTTGTGGGTGCGCTGTGGTCTCTGAGTGAAATCTGTGTGTGTGTTTTGACATGGAAATTAGTGGCAGGCAAAAAACCGCTTGGAGAAATGCTTAATGTCTGCCTAATGAGCTTGGTACACCGCTGCGTACACTGGCTGTACGTACATTTACGAATGCCACAAAACCTGAATGGACAGACGGACAGTGCCAAGCCCATCTACACTCCACTCTTCATGGTTGTAATTTCTGCGCTTTAATGCTTCACTTACGAGCACTTGTGGCTCTGCTTCTTGTGGCGGCTTTGGCTTTTCGAGCTATGAATTGTTTCATGGAGACACCCTGGAGACCCTCTCGCGCTCTCACCGGGTCATTGTTGTTCATATTCGTGTTAATCATACGCTGAATTGCACTTTATGGCGTTAGATAAGGGGTTGCCATCGTGCCTTGTGCCGTCACTTTGACAATTGACAAGCGCCTGATACATACCTCGATGGCTCGCTTATGTAAGGGAGCGTTCCCCACAGCCAGATGATGTCCCCTATTTCAATTTGGCGTCATTGTTGCGGTTCCAATTCGTTCCACTCCCCAAATTGAAATTCACTTAACCAGGCCAGCCGGCGGCTGTAGCCCACACGAGCAGACGCTCTGTCCCAGATAAATCACAGAAATCATCTGTGGTGGGAGACTGAGATTCGATCTGCCTCGTCGCCGCCTCATGGCATCAGCAGGTTGGTTCTTCTGGGGTGAAATCGAGTCTGGTTTTCGGTCTGTTTTCTTTTGATAAAGCATAACCATGTTGGCGCTGATGACGACGACGACGACGCAGGCGCAGGCGCTGACAGCAAAGTCCGCGGATTGCATAAGATCCAGGCCACGACAGGCGGCCCGCAAATTGGCCGAGATTTTTGCGAAACGCAGCTTGAGTCGAGCAGTTGCAATTTCATGCATGCCGATTTTTATGTGAAGAAAAACAACAACATTAAAATCAGCAGCAGCAACAGCAACAACAACAATAACAAGCGGAATAACAACTGTAAAATATGAGTGAAAAAAAAGACGTCTTCGCCAATTGAAGTTGTGATAAAAATAGCCCAAAGAAACAAAATGCGAGACATCAAATTGTTCACTGGTGGGATCGAGTTCAAGTATTGGCAATGCTCGACGCCAAAAGAGTGGGGTGAAAATCCGCTATACAAGAGAAAGAGGTACTGAGTAAGACGAATTTAATACACTCTTGAACCAGCGAATACTGCTGGAAAAGAATCTCTGAGCGGGGTAATTATTGTCAATCCTTCCTCGATATCTTTGAGTATGGATTAATACGCGACAAAATGATATCCCATTCGCAGAGTGGAGTCAAATAACTGTAAGACCCAGCTGTGAAACTCTGTTGGAGGAGGGTAGGATAAAACAGTTTGGAAACTTCGCGTGCGAATTTAGTTATGCACGATAATTCACGCAATGGATGCGATTCCCGAGTTGTCATTCAACCAATGCAAAAGGTGTAGGCACTCGACCGATGATGAAAGGTCGTTGCGGGGAATGCAACAAGGCAAACGAACCAAAAATCAACTTCAAGAACAGTCGCTAAGCTTTTTGCGTTGAATTACAACCCGCAGCGCAAAAGCTTACAGTTTTCGAGTGACTGTGACAAGCTGACACACCCACTCTGAGCGCACTGTACAGACAATCCCCCAAACCAAATTGAAGGTCAACGAAAGTAAACGAAATGGAAAGTTTTTATTGCCCTATGCTGATAAACAAAACAACGGCACGTGTCGCCCCATAAGAACATCAATTACTAAACACAGTAAACACGAAAAGCTTTTGCCCGGCAGCACTGGAATACAAGTGCTTGCCAAACAAAAGAGAGGGAGATATGGAAATAGAGAGCAGCATGCGTATGAGAGAACAAGCTTTGATCTAGCAGAGTTGTCGGGTGGCCAACAGCTCGCGCTGTGCATAAAATCTCCTGTTTGGATGTAGAACTCGCGAGAGGTTCGACAACCCAGTCGCCGCTGCTGGAACGAAGTTGAATTACGTGACTCGATGGCGCTGCGGCTGATGGCGGCCAGAACAGTGTGCTTTTGGTGGTCCGATCGATCGTTCACAGTTTTAGTTGTACCTTCCAGACAGATTTATTTTGCTACAGGTGGGTGATGAGATTCTGCGGAGAGGCAGCCTCGACCGGTTACATAACATTTTCACTCTGCTCCTCCAGCCAGCCATGTCGCTTCGTGTGGTGTCCCCTTCCCTGCTGAATGCCTGGAGCCAGACTCTGGTGCGTGCCATGTCCACCCAGGGCGGCAGCAAGAACATCGGCTTCGTGGGCCTCGGCAACATGGGTGCCAACATGGCAAGCAACCTGATCAAGGCAGGCCACAAGCTGCATGTGTTCGACATTTCGAAGCCAGCCTGCCAAGGACTGGCGGCCAAGGGAGCCACTGTCTACACCAAGACCTCGGAGCTGGCCCAGAACTCTGACTTTGTCATCACCATGCTGCCCAACAACGCCATTGTGGAGAAATCGTACGAGGAGATGACTGCCGATGGCGTCAACAAGGACACCATCTTCATCGACTCCTCCACCATTTCCCCGGAGCTGGTGAAGGCTCTGCAGAAGCGCATCACCGACAAGGGAGCCCGTTTCATCGATGCCCCCGTCTCCGGAGGTGTTCCCGGCGCCGAGCAGGCCACTCTCACCTTCATGGTGGGCGGCACCGATGCCGAGTACAACGCCGTCAAGGCTGTGCTGGAGTGCATGGGCAAGCGCATCACCCACTGCGGCGTCTACGGCATGGGACAGGCCGCCAAGCTGTGCAACAACATGATGCTCGCCATCTCCATGATTGGCGTGTCCGAGGCGATGAATCTGGCCGTGCGCCAGGGCCTCGATGCCAAGGTTTTCGCCGAGATTATCAACTCGTCCACTGGCCGCTGTTGGGCCTCTGAGATCTACAACCCAGTGCCCGGCATTTGCCCCACTGCCCCTGCCAACAAAGACTATGCCGGAGGTTTCTCCTCCGCTCTGATCACCAAGGATCTGGGTCTGGCCTCCGGAGTGGCCAACAGCTCGAACACACCCATTCCACTGGGTTCGCTGGCCCACAAGATCTACACCTCGCTGTGCACCCAGGGTCTGGGCAACAAGGACTTCTCCGTGGTGTACGACCAAATGAAGAAGGAGAAGTTCAGCGTTTAAGTTACTTAAGAGACTCTAACTAGATAGCGATGATGAATCCGTATCCAACACACACACCAGTCATGCATTTATTTAGCACTAAGCTAGTGCGGTCCTAGGGCTTCCCTATTTCCAATTACGACTGTGCAATTACTTTTTCAGTGTATTCGCGTAAATATGTACATATATTAAAGATGTATTCGTTTATCGTATTGTATGGAAAACTTCTATTCGATTGCGTAACCGCGGGCTGTGTGGGCTGGTCTGGCGATCGTCTGTCGAGTGGAATACCGAGTGCTGATAAGACTTGTCAAACAGCTGTGGGATTTATTTTTATTGCCATTTTTCAAGCAAATAAATAATACCCCAGAAAATAAAATTTAGAAACGAAACCTTATCAGTGCTTCCACATGGCGCGATTGATAAAGCTTTGCAGGTAAGCAGAGCAAAACATCGACCTCATAAAGATTAACAAATTAAAGCATTACAGTTTTAAAGAAACAGTTTGACAGTTGGATAAATGTTGTATCAGGTTCGAGAAATACTTACTGCGTAGAATAAAAGCTCTTAGTTTTAGAACCATTGGCCTGTCTTTGACAATTTGACACACCCACTTGGCAGCCGGCCCAAGCACCCAATAATGAAAATCAAGTAAAGAAAATAGTTTGTTATTCTACAATCTACAGTCTATATATATGTTCTTTGAATGTGTAAATGTATGTAATTGCCTTATGCAAAACTTTATTCGTTAGTGTCCAGGTTCAAATTAAAGAGTAGCAATTCCCTCTAACAAATAAACTATAAACATCTGCAATGATCAGACCATAAAAGCACTGGAAGAACTGGCAGCGCGTGTTGAGAGAGGAAGATAACGCGATAGGATAGAAAGAGAGCTGTGCTCTCTCAAGTCAAATGAATTATTTTGCTCGAATAATCCGACTACTTCGCCTCTCCTCACACTGGAATGTTAGCAAACCACAGTGGGGCGATCGGGTATAATAACTTGCAATTCTAGTTCCATGCAACAGTTCCTATTAAATTCTGTACACTGTGAATGTTGATGTCAAAGCGAAAGGTTCCATGAACAGTTTTAGAAGTATTTAGCAACGTTTATTTTTAGAGAAAAACGAGTTTTTATTTTGAGCGAAATCCAAAAATATGTTTTATTATTTTTGCCGTCGTAGATGTTGTATACATAAATTGAAAAATAACAAACTTAACTTAGGTGCTAATTTAATTAATAAATTAATTGAGTTTGGTATGAAGTATGTTTGTATGTATATAAAAACGTTTGTTGTTGCTCTTCCTGCGGGGTATAAAATAGTTTAACTATCTAAAATGTATCAAATCGATCGATCGGAGTGGATTATAATTGCAATTAGTTGTAATTGTTACACATACAAATCGTGTTTATGGCTGGGCCTGGGGCGGGGCCTTGACGAGCTGATTATCCTATACGTATTATTCATATAAATATTAGAAAATGTTTTGAACAATTTGCTTCGAGTGAAATAATTACAATAAATTTAATAAGGTCTTGTTTAGGCATATAAAAGGTAAATTTGTAAAGGTTTATCAAGAAGAAGCATCCTTAAACGAGTCGAGTGCAATTGATTTCTAAATGGAGTCTAGGGAGATGTGAGTGCGGGAAGGATACTCCCTCCTTCAGGGGGTTACATAAGTCACATAAGTAAGTAAGCCTAAGTTGCAAAATTCTTGGAAAATATCACAAATTGAAATACGAGTACACAATAAATAATTCGGATTCGCGCAAAAGGAATCTGGTTGTTAGCATTTTGAGTGTTTCTTGGTAAATATTCGAATATATTCTTTTAAAGAGTGACAGAGAGAGAGAGGAGAGCGAGCCAGGGTTGGTTACCTTAGGTACTTGGAATATCTTCTATCTTTTCTGTGTATATACAATATCTTTCTGTGTAAATAGTTTTTGTTTTCACATATACATATATCCATATTCATATAATGCTAAGAAAATAAGTGAAGCTAACTTTGTGCTGCTTAATTGAGTCAAGTTTTAGTTGCATTGAGTATATAGTTTCGTGGATGGGATGTCTGTTTGAGTGTGGAACTTTGTGTCTTGGTGCTGCCCTCTCCTTAACTAACTAGCTAGCTAACTCTCCTAACTTTGGTGTCTAATTGCTTTCGCCGTGGCTCAGACTGAGGCTCTTGGCCTGGCCAAACTTCTGCTTCAGTTGGCTGGTATTGGCCCGGAAGCGCTGCATCAGCTGCTGCCTGCCGCCGCCTCCAATCAACGCGCTGGACTGCGGCGGCGCCACCATCGCCATTGCCGCATCAGCGCTGGTTATGGACTATGAGCCCTTGAGCTTTTTCTTTGGATTGCTGCGGGTCTGATCGGTGGGCGCCGAGGGTGGTAGCTCTCGATACTGATTCTGAAGCGGGAAATGATTATTAGTTCAGGGAAATTAAGATACTCGAAAGATGCTTACAATCTCCTCGTTGTCGGGCACACGGGATAGGAAGTCGAGTAGCTCGTTGTTGGGTATAGTGTTGGGGCGCAGCAGGCGTCGCGAGAACTTCATTAGGCCCCAGAAGAGCAGGAGCCAGCGCAGCGGCACAAAATGTAGCACCAGAATGGCGCCCAGCAGCAGGACAACGGCCAGCCAGGTCAGCTCGGGGACGGAAAAGTTGAATGTGCTAAAAGTATACAGAAAGAAAGAGTTAATTGAGATTTATGTGGGTTGACAGGTCCTTACTTAATGGTGCTCTCAGCCAGGGAGGCTAGATATCCAATGGTGTTCTGTACGGTCTGGGAGACTTCTTGAATGGCCTGTAATCGCTCCTTGATGGACTTCTTCTCCTCTTTCTCCTTGTCATCTTCGTCATCCTCATCGTACTCGTAGTCATAGTGGCCCGCTGAGGGGTCTGTCGTGCCCGTGATCATGCGAATCAGCCACTTTCTAAGTGAAGAAAATAAACAAAATCTAGAAAATTGTATCTCATAGAAGAAATCTCCACTTACTTGAGTATAATGAGCAGTAGGACCAAAGGAACTGTCTCCAGATCGCCATAGACACAGCCCACAATCCAAAAGACAAAAGCTATGCTGGAACGCACAGGAGACTCCCATTCAAAGCAGCTCCTGCAACAGAAAAAGAAACAAATTGGAGGGCAGTTTTCTATAGGGGAAACTCGTACTTACTGCACATAGCGCGCTGCTTCCAGGATGTCCATGATGATCTCCTTGAGACGGTTGACATTGCGCAGGAAGAGCTGCCTCTTAAACTTGGCCTCCTGCTGGATGAGTTTCTCCTCTTTTGGCTGGAGGGCGCGGCAAACGGCTCGAATCTCGCTCCAGATGACAGTCAGTTCCAGCTGGATTTGCGGCGAGTTTCCCTTGGCTCGGACACAGAGATTCTTGTCCTTTAGAGTGTACCAGCGCTTGACGCCGCTCTTGATGCGCAGCAGTGGAATGACGAGCTTGCCTAGGAACTCGACTCGATGATCGCGATCCTCGTCGAAGACTGTGATCTCCAGAACCTGTGTGATGTCCTTGACATTGCTGAAAAGAGTAAACAATAAGCTGGCGAACAGAATGGACTAGCGATTGCTCTTACAAGGTGAAAATCTTATTCCAGTTTGGCGTTAGGGTCTTGTACTCTGTCTGTGTCTGCAGTCGGGCATTTCCCAGCTCGAGAACGCAAAAGGGATCCGATTTGCCACCAATGTCCGCTGCAGCCAGACCCGTGGCACCAAAGACCTTGACCGTGAGGTGACCCACATCCCTCAGGTTCTGCAGGCAGCGTAGGAAGCGGTAGCGATCTCTTAGCAGCTGGGACTCGCGCGGATCCTCCTTGAATGCCTTCAGGTCGCTGATCGTCTCCAAGGCCGTTGTGCCGCTGATGGTGAGCATGAGGTGCACTTCGCCTGGGCAATCCTCCAGCGGCTTCCATATCCCGTGCGTGGTCTCGCGCTGGAACACACTCAAGTCGATGATGGCCTTGCCGTAGAGGGTGTTGCGATTCCATAGAGCCAGCTCCAGGTTCTGGTCCTCGTCGAACAGATGCAGATCGAACTGTTCCAGCCAGCGCTCCGTCCAGGAAGACTTGCTCTTGTACTTCTCGTTGCCCAATCTAGGTCACACGGGAAGATGTATGCTTAATGGGAGGTTTATTACTTCAAGAGCTGATCGTGCTCACCTGAACCTGAAGTGCGTTTCGGTCAGCTTGCTACCGTCTTCAGCCAGTGGTAGATCTTTGGCCCTCACCAGCAGAATGGTGACCACTGAGCTCCAGATCTGCGACTTCAGACGCTTCGATGACTCGGCCAGTTTGGAGTTGCGCTGAAAGTGCTGCAACAATTCAAACGATTAGCTTCAATTGGGACACCGATCCACAATACGCTTCCCCTGCCCCGCCAACCACAAATAGGCACCTCCATCAGCTCGTCGCAGCCCTGCTCCAGTTGTTCACACAGCTCCTCATGCTGCCGCCTCACATGCTTGAGCAACATGCGCGGCGCCCGCTTGCATCCAGGCCAATTGTTGCCCAGCATTGCCCACAAAATGAACAGACAAGCGAAAAGACAAAACAGAAAAACATAAAACCGAAAGCCGAAAGCCGAAAAAACAAAACTTAAAGCCGAACTTTGCTTTCGACGCTCAAACAGTGACTAAAGGCAGTGGCAAAGGTCTTGCGCTGGAGTCAGTGCGATTGCAAGGCAAATACCCTCACAGACTAAAGGGTATGCTAGACTGGAGGGAGCTTAAGAGAATGGCATGTGCACTCATAGCTGAAAATTAGTGAGTGTCTTTAAAATAACTATTTATACCTGTGCCCACCGTTTACTAATAATATTTGTAGAGAAAGTACTTCTCAATCTACTCCAACTACAACCTCCAACTAGTACTTTCCACAAACATGAGGTATTAATGCTTCTACTCTCACTCTGTTTGTGTCTCTTCCATCGTATTTTCCCACTTTGTCATATGTTTGCTTTGGCATCGCCTTCACTACCTCCCCAGATAACATGTAATGGCAATTGTCGGCGCTCATGCCGGAGCTTTGTTGAGTCGAAGCCGAAGCAGCGATCGGCGCTTTGTCTGCCGCTCTCCCGCACTGCCACTCAAAACTGCTCAAGTCACGATGAGTGTGTCAATGGAAGAGTGGTGGGTGGAGAGCGGAGCGTAGATTTGTATTAGTCAGTTCGGGTATTTAGTTCCGGTCTCGGCTCAGCCGAGCA